GTTGGGGGCTGTCATGTGTGTAAATACAGTTCTTCCAGTTTTGCCCATTGCCCATCCATTCAGCCACTGTTCCCTGGTGTTGCATTTGATGATGTTCTTGGCTGTCTGTTGTGATACTGGGTTGTGTGATTGTGTTTGTGATGCTCCCTTCTTGGCAAGGGTGTCTGCTCTGTCGACTCCAAGGACACAATTTGTATAATTTAGGCAGTAAGTTCTTTGACCCTGCCCACCAGGGCCAACTTGAGCCGAGTGCGACAAAATATCCCTGTAAACAAGACAGTGAAATAAGATACAGTGTACCTTCCTATTTGGGAATCTTTTTTTTTGTTTTAAGTTTTACGGCACTTGCAACACAAACAGATCATACAAATGCCGAAGATTTAGAAATGTTGCAAGAGAGTAACATGCACAAAGAAAAGAAGGGAGGAGAGATAAGGACAATAGACGAACAGGTTCAGGTAAACCCATGCTCTGTGTAAACACACGCTTAGGACGTCTCTACAGCAATGTGCGTTTAGGCAGAGTCTACTAGATAAGTATTTTTTGTTTTGTTTTAGAAGAGGTTTAACGGCGCTCGCAACTGCATAAGGTCATTTGAGCGCCAAGGGGTGGATGTCAACAGAGAAGTCTTTACAGGGAATCAGACTTACTCTGCTCACCTCTCCAGCTTCAACAACACAAAGTCTGCTTTGACTATCAAGGCATCCCGGAAATAGCGGGTCACAAGAGTGTGACAAACATACAAAAGAAGTAGAGGAAAATGACGATATTAAGGATTAGGAAAAAAAAAAAGCAGCAGTTCCCTGCTGTAGTTCAAGCACAGTTATGAGCATGACATTATTGGATCAGCCCATTTACAATTCTACTGTGCATTAGAACGAGAAATGTCCCCCCTTTGGGAATGGCCTAAAGACACTTCAGTCAGTGGCACCGCCCAGTGACCTTTGAATGAGAGGAGAACATCTTAACCTCTAGGCCACGAGAGCCCCCTCGTGTAGTTTCAAAACAGTCACACATGCAAAGAATTTCAAATGTCCATGTGAATATAAATGTGAAAGAAAGGCGGCAGTCCATATGACCATGTGCAAGAAAGTCAGTGGTCCTTAACATTCTTCTGTGACCTTTGTTGCTCCTTTCTGAGGTATTCAACTGGTCTGTTTGATGTACTTACAGAGGCGCCATATCGTCCAAGTTGAGCTTTTTCTTTGCTGACATGCTTCCTCGGGCCATCATTGTTGCATTTATGTGCTTCAGCTTTTCCGACTGAAACAAAGGAGAAAAGTAAGTTTCAACTGGAAAGAAACAAACCGACATAACAGCTTTTCAGCTGACTTTAGTTTGATAGAGGTTTAAGAGTATCTGCAACACTTTTCTTACATGTAAATGCCAAAGATTAGTTACGAGGGAGTAGCAAACATAAAAAAGGAGGGTAGCATGGGACAGCAGTTCATAGTGATAGAAAAAGCAACCCGCAACACAGTGCCCACCAACTGCCTACTCAGTTGACTAAGAAGCTAGAAGAAGAAAAAAAAAAGACAAAAGAAAAAAAATATTTAAACATTCATCATCAATGACACATTTATGACCAAACATGTCCCCAAGGCAGGAAAATCAACAATGACAACAATAGTAGATCTTAAACTGAGAACTCGCTGACTCATCGGTAGCAACAACGAAATTACTAGGTCTATAAGTGAGAACTCACAGAGCTGTTAACAGCAATAACAAAATGTGAGGCATTGTGGTGAAATCAGGAGCTCCTAAAAATGATGAAATCAAAGAATGTTTTTTTTGCTACAACTTTGATGTCCATTTAAAAACATTTCCATTTCTGTGTTGATTTTTCTGAAAACCATTCATTAAAGTCACAAAAAATGTAAATATTCAGTTTCCAAGGACTCTCAAGCTATGGAAGTAAAAAAACTTTGGTGGCCATTTTCTTGCTAATTTTACTGCTGAAACCAGGTGACTCTCACTTCCTTCAAATAAACAAGCTTTAACATGATACAAATAACACCACGCGTCAAAAAATTGACAAGCGCCTGATTCCACCGCGTCATGACACATATCAGAACTAAGAACTCACCGAGCCAATCGTGTCACCAAAGCTGTAGAGAAGTCTAGTGGAGGGAGTCATCTGACTAGGTGACGCTGGTGTCTTGAACTCGGAATCTTTCATCGGTGAAACAGTGAACTTTCTCTTCCCTAACAAGCTGAAATATCAAAAAAACGAAAATGTTTTAAAAGGCATTATCATTACAACAGAAAAGCATGTAGTAAACCAATGTCATAAACTCAAAGACATTTTATTTCACAAAACACAAAAGCATCCTCCTCCTGCAGAATGCAACCAACCCCATTCCCTTAACTACCAAAGATGTAAAAGGGCAACTGAGAGGTGAGACGAGGGCTCAGAGCCAGAGGCAATGTCCGTTTTCGTCAAAATGTCCAAAAATATCAAAATTGAGGGGGGGGCTCAGTAGCTCAACAGGTAAGCTGTTCACCTGTCAGGACAGAGTTAACCCCTTTGTTGCCTTATGATGTACCTGGTACACCACTAAAATGCAAAACTTTTAGCTCTGTGCTGTACCATGACAAGTCGGCAAATTTGATATTCCTGGTTGTCTGTAAGACATTACATGTGTGTCCCGTTAATCATCTGGCTCTAATTCTTCTGTGCGCAGGTTTAGCCTCTAGCACTGCATGGATTCATATTTGGGAATCAAAAATGTGTACATCAGCACCAAATTTGCATGTATTAGTTTACTGCTAGGCTTGCAAGAGATTTTAAAAAACACATACCAAATTTTTTGGGGGTAAGTGTTTTATGGCACAAAAAGTAAACACCACAAAGTGCGGCAGATTTCACTTAAAGACTTAGATTTGCAAGTTTTTAAAATTATGGGCAAGGTGAGGATTATAGAGAACGAGAAAACTGAGGAAAGTTACACTATATAAGACCTGGGGTCCGAATATATCAAGAGCAGACTAGATTTAACACAGAGAGTCCACTGATACTGAGACGTGCTGCCTGGTGAAACAAGCTTAACTGAAAAATGAGTGCTGACAATATGAACGCGCACCCCCCTGGCAAAGAAGGGGTTAAAATCCCCACCCGCTTCAGTTTTCTACAACCCCTGATCCTAGGATCAGGCCCCTTTTGCTCTTGGAAAAGGATAAAAGGCTGCCACCTATAACAACACATAGCAGCCTGTTAGGTAAGGGGTGATTCTACGTTCCATGGAGACAAAAGGGCCATGTATGTAGAATCAAGTGCTTTGTGAGATAAAAATCTTACAGTCACTGACTCCGTAAGCCCTAGAAGTAGGAAGAAAAAAAATTGAGGTACTCAAATGAGGTTATGTCATGTCTGTAAATATCAAACCAATCTACTAGTAGTAGTAGTAGTATAGGGTTTTACGGCGCTCGCAACTGCTGAGGTCATATGAGCGCGTGAAACACAAGCCGTTTACTTCCGCAAAAGTTCGCTGCACGATTGGTTAACTAATTGATTCTAAAATGCTAAAATGTTGGGCCAAAATTGAAATTTCTAGCATCTAGATCTATGTCCAAGCGTGGCCAATTAACATCTTGCCATAATCATCAATTTTTCTAAAAACTAGCTATTTAGACATAGTCACCTGAAGCCTTCAGCAGAGCAGATATCAGTTGGTAGCCTGGAGTAAAGTGAGGCACACTACACATTCACGACCATTTATAGCAAGGAAAGAGTCAAGACAGGCAAACACAAGCAAAAAGATACATTTTTAAAAAAAGTAGGACCTACACGTACCGGTGGCGTGTCCAACCATTCACCAATGACCATTTACTGCAGGGAAAGGCGAGACAGATCGACGAAAACAATAAGGGGACAAAAAAGATAGCTTAAAAAAATATTTAAAAACCCAGCTAAAAAAAATGGTGAAATGGTATGGGTTTAACGCCCCTATCAACACTATTGAAAACCAGCACAAGAGAAGAAATAAAAGACATTACATTGCCATAAAAATGTACCTGTGTCTCGGGGATGCCTGAGCATGCTTTGGCAGAGGAGACAACTGTGGAGTCTGTGAATAAATAAAGGACATGAAAGGTGGGTTATTTTTAGCTTTTTTTTTTTTCTTTTTCGTAAGAGTTTTACGGCATTTGCAACACAATTAGGTCATATAAGAACCGAAGATTAGAGGTGTTACAAGGGAGTAACAAACACAAAAAAGAAGGAGGGGAGAAAAAGACGATAGAAGTTTGATAGGAAAGAAGGAGCAAACCGCACCAGAGCACCCGCCAATCACCCACTTTTTTTAGTTTTAGTGAGAGTTTTACAACACTTGCAACATAATAAGGTCATATAAGTGCCAAAGATTAGGTGTTACAAGAGAGTAACAAAGAAAAAATGGAGAGATAAGGGCGAGAGATGTTTGATAGGAAAGAAGGAGCAAACCACACCAGAACACCCGCCACCAGCCACTTGAAAGTTTAATTAAGGTAATTTATATGATTAGAGCAGTGTCCGATTAGCATTTTCTTAAGACAGAGAATATCTCAACACTAGTAAGACTAAGAGTAAAGTAAAATAAAACTTCGGTGCCTATTTTCTTTCCTTTCAGGGTAACAGCTTGAAAAAAAAGGATAAACAACAGCAATAAAGAGGAATAAAATTACATTGGCTGTCAAGACAAAAACCGCCACAAAGAACTGACCGTGGGCCGCTGTGGTGAGAACTGCAGGATGTAAGGCTTGATGTTCTGCAGGAACACATGATTGTAGAACACAATGATGGAGTCCACTTTGTTACGGTTGATGTACACATGCTTGTGGATCTGAAGATGGATGCATACATAATAACGGATGACATTCACAAGCAAGGTCTTGAAAGAAGAAAAAAATCAACTCGAAACTCCTTCAAAAAGATATTTCTACTGTTTGGGAAGAATAAATCAACTCAAAACCCTCAACGGCGACAAAATCCCTAAACACAGCCTCGCTGCTATAGCTTTGAAACCTAAAGTGTATTCCTGGACAGTTTCCTTTGTTCATCATCAGTACCTATAAATTGTAATGAATATTATAAACACTAGGACTATTTTGAGGACGGAGATAATAGTCAATAGAGAAAAGCAGGAAAAACTTGGCCGTAAAGTACTTGAAAAGTTGGCTTTCCTCTGCAAAAAACACTTAACTTGTGTAAATCAATCTTGTACACTGTAGTTCCTCCTATCACAAAACAAAATAATTTTTGGTAAGCAGTGAGACAGGTGGGGAAATTTATCTTGCTTTCAGAGATACTTGCACCATGCACTTTGCAAAATAGCTTAACGAATGTAATTACTTGCGCTCTCTCACTCTCTCTCTCCGTTACCAATGTACGTGATCAATGGAAACAAGGCGTTTGTGAAAGTTCACATTTTATGTTTTTATTTTGCTTTATCAACAACATTGTGGTACCTTATAATCACCTTTCTTCCACATGGTTACTATACACCCTTAAGGGGAGACGTACACTCCCGGAAAAATGTTCTAAACGAATTACTTTTATTCACTTTTATGTAATTGTACGAGAAGTTCATGGGTAAATACGATGTGCTAAGGGTGAATTTGTTGAATTTTTCTGAAAAATGGGTCTCTGTGACGGCCATCTTGGATTTTCAAACCAGTTCCTTAG